CTGCAGCGCGGCTGAGACCGCTGAGCCTAGCCCTGGTTAGGCAGGGGAGTGCTCGGGAGGAAGGTCTTCCCCGTGTTTTCGTTTGGACGGTTCAGAGGCTTCCCCCCCTGTTTGAAAAAAAAAAAAAACCGCGCAGATAAAAGAATTACGATAAAGCTATGTCATGAGATCGCAAAGCCTTAGTGCTTGTGCTTATCAAAACCCAAGTGTTCAGAAGGCTTATCTACTTTTTTTTAACCCAGTGTCAACCTTATTTCAGAGTTGCTTCGTTTCTGCACAAAGGTGTTTCTTTTTAATAGCAACGTCCTTGCGGACTGTTTTTACATACTAGGCATGTAGGAGGCCTGCTAGTTATGTTGACCCTGGCACTGCAAGTAAGTATGAGTAATGTTGCTTTGAGCTGTAATTTGATTATGTTCTTAATAGTGTTGTCTGTGTTCACGCAAGGGTTAACTCTCTCTTCTGATTCTGCACTTAGGATGTGCAACTTTTCTATATTGAGCTTTGGCTTATTCAGCTTCTGGCTGGTAGAATTATCTCCCCAGGGAGACTTATGTCAGGCTCCTATTTAATCATAGTAAATCCAAACTTAAGCACTAACAGATTTCTATTGTATAATGCATCCTGATTTGATTTTTGAGATGCAACAGAATCAAATACACATATAAGTAGGGCTCTGTGTGCCCTAATTATGAAAATCATAGTGACTTTCATTAAATATGGTTATTTCTAGTTAAATGGGTACTAAAACTACTTACTTAATTGTAGATCCTGGTTCTGCTAAATAGTTGGCTTGCTGTAAGGGCAGGTGAACTTTCAGACCTTTTTCTGGTATCTCAATACTCCTGATACAGGGAGTAGAGATTGTGCTATAGCTGATGTAGCTGTCAGAACTGCTTAAACAAATACCAGCTAGATGACATTTAACAGTACAGTTAATGATAGAGTACTGCATCACCATTCATTACAGTGTACAATAATGGCTGTATATTACACAAATATATTAGTGCAGAGCAAGTTTAGTTTTGTACTATATGATGTCCACCAATTGGTGTGGTACCGCTTGGTACCACCATTTGCTTTATCTGCTTGAAACCTTCTTAGCTCCACTTCTTGTGTGAGGTTTGCAGCAACATTTATAGGTAAATTTGTTAAATACCTAGGCTTATAAATATGTGAACATCTGACCATTTCTCTTTTGGAAAAAAAAATGACAAAGTCAATTCATGAGCAGATAACTGGCTATTATAATATTCTTGTAACAGTTCAGAAAGTTTGAAGTTTTAAGCAGCACAATGCAGCAGTGTCTGCTTTCAAACTTTCTGTTAACCTGATATACTATATCAAAGATGTTGCATTGGTCTGTGCCACTTGTGCAAGAATTGCACAGCTCAGTTTTTGAAGACTAGATAGTTTCATTTCCTGCAAAACACTTAATCTGAAAGCTATTCTAATTAGTTTTCTATTAAATAGAAAGCTTGAAGTGAAGGAAAAAAGCCTTGAATTATTGTCTAAGTTTCTGTGCTTTGGATGACTTCCTTTATTTTTTGAATGGTCCTTCAAAATAGCTTTATGAGATCTAGAAATACCTGGATTTCTACATATGCTACACACACAAATTGAAAAAACTGTCAGGACGACTGATATGTTTCAGTGACTTGCAGGGCTTCCTGGAGAAGAGGAATTGGGTGTAATCAGGTCTAAAGAGAGACCCTGGCATTGCCATTATGTTTCAGCAAAGTTGTGTCCTGCTACAAACTTAGATGAACTTTGTTAGGGGAATGCAGAAAACCACATTTGTTGGCCTCTGAACTTCAGAGGCCTAAAAACCTATTTAAGATAAGCTTCAGCAGTATTACAAATTTTCCTGCACGTAACTTTCTAAAACTGTTTTATGCTAAAAATCCTGTTAAGCTTAGTTCTCTTCTCAGGGCTTGTTAAAATATCTGCTGCTCTTCACAGCATGTGTTACCATCAAGTAAATTCAGACCTACTGGTGGAGGAGAGAGGGGAGGACCTTGACTGAGGCATTTCTTGTCATGGGTTTATGCCGTAGGATGGATAAATCTCCGCTTTGCTTTAGAAATCCACTTGAATTTTTCGGATATTCTTTCTGTTTTTCTAAGGTATCTTCCTAACAGTATAGTTTCTAATGAATAAAAAAAAGTATTCTGTGTAATTTTAATGGAACTTCGTATTATAGGACTGTTGCTTCATTTTTTAATGCTTTGTATGAAAGTTCTTAACAAAGACCTTTCTTAACAGTTTAATGAACATGTTGAGCCTCTTAGTCAAATAGAAATCATGTATTTCCTAAAGAAAAATATGATGCAGAGCTCCTTAAGGTTACTGTTATCTGTGAACTGTGGAAATAAATCTGTGAAGCAGCAATTTCTATGACCAAATTAATTTGCCTCAAACGGAATAAAAATAATATTCTTGATTAAAAAAATTATAAACAAATGAAGAATGTTGAATTATAAGAGTGAAAGCAGTGAGATGTTCAGTGGATTAAATAAACTAACTATTCTTTAGGTATGAGATCAAGTAAGGGAAAGGATTTACTTTCTGAGATATAGAGACATAGTAAAAGGGTTTATATTAACGACGAGGCAGATCAGTGGAGAGAGGGGACCGGAAAGACTAATCTGTGGAAGACTTGGTCAGGGTTGATGATGATAGTGCAGTGCTGGTGTTGGCAGTAGGAAACCTGTAGTGCTAATCTGTGATATTGGGGGAGGGAAGGGAAGGGAAGATCCTTTGTGCCCGGTGCCCTCTTGAGGAACAGATCAACTGTCTGGGTGATGTGCAAAAGGAAGGTTATGGTATGCAGAAAGGGGGATTAGTGTGCAGTATGACAAAATGGAAGAAATAGAGTGGCTTCAGGGGAGAGAATGATGAAAAAATTGAAAAGGTGAGCAAACACTCTGAGTTTAAAAATAAAAATATTATTATTGGAGGGACCTGGTGTGACCTCAATCAGGTATCCATAAAGTAAGAGAATTAACCGATTGGATATATATAATGAGAAGTGTGTTGCTTCTCCTTTTGGATATTTTATCTCCTAAAGAAAAGGTATTAGTGTAGCTGTTGTGAATTTCAGTGAAAATCTTAACTGTTGAATTGACAGGAGTCCAGATACAGAGTCCTAAAAAAGTCTATATCAGCTTCTTGTCCAGACCGAATGTAGCATTTATACATTTCAGTGTACACCCTCTGCTCGCACTAGGATTCAACTCTTTTTTTCCCTGTGTTTGATGTTGCACGAATTGGCTGAGAGGTGGCTGTTGCTAAACAGCAAATTTATCTATGGCAGTTACACCTTTCCACCTGTGGCATTAATGTCTTTTTTTTTTTTTTTTAATGCAGGCTTCTATTTATAGCCGTTGCACAACAGTTCAAATAATCAGTTTTGCTACATAAAAGGCTAAATAGTCAATTTTAGGCCTTCAGTTAAATCTAGAACTAAGGCAAAATTATCCATATGTAAAATTTCCTCTGCCTTTTAGTCTCACCTGTATAAAAATGACTCTTTAAATGTATTTGTGTAGACGTGAACCACTGGCTCTTATCAACTTAAAAAAGAAAAATGAAGAAACTGGGGAAGAAGAACTTGCCTCACGTTTAGATCACTGCAAAGCAAAAGCCACCAGGCACATATTCCTTATCCGCCATTCGCAGTATAATTTGGACGGCCGGGCTGATAAAGATAGAACTCTGACCCCACTTGGTATGTATTATTAGAAGCATCATACCTCTTATTTTGAGAAAAAAGCTTCTTATTTGCTACTGTCTTGATCAGTACAGGTCAGTAACTCAGCTCTGTTTTGGGTCTCACTGCCAAACTTGAATCCACTTTCTGGTTCCTTTTTAATAGAAAGATATTAAAAGTAAGTTTGTTTTTTCCTTTTCTTATCTTCTAAATCCAAACATTATGAAACATGTTTTTCAGAGTTCTAAGCACATGCCACAGTTGTAAAGAAACTTCATAATGGAAAATTCAAACTATTTTAAGGGGTTTGAGCTAAGTTTACATGCCGACTGGCATAATTCTCCAGGGCTAAGGCTTTTGTCTGAAACTTAGCTCCGTGACTACCTTAGAAATAAATTACCTGTAGAAGGTAGTCTGTGTGAGGTTCTTGTTTGAGTATCAGCAACTTAAATAGTGAATATCATTTTTAAGGTCGAGAACAGGCTGAGCTAACTGGCCACAGACTGGCAAGCTTGGGGTTGAAATTTGATCAGATTATCCACTCCTCCATGACTAGAGCAACTGAAACAACTGAAATTATCAGCAAATATCTCCCTGGTAAGTGACTACTTTTAAATGTATCAGTGTCTTCTGACCCTTAAAACAACTTCCAGTAGAATTCTAAGCTTGTCCTTGAGTTAAGGTGTAATTGAGCTGTTACTAGCCATTTTCTAGACCTATGTGAATATGTCTATGTTTTAAATTAAAGAAACTAACAACCCTAATTCTGCTTGTTTCCAGTTCATCTTTAAAAATGCAAGAGGGAGCTGGCCCCTCTGAGTGATTAGGCTTGTACCAGTATGTACTGCTGTAGGAGAACTCTGCTGATTGCTTTTCCTTCTCTTATGCGTTTGTAAGCAGACTGTCACAGGTCATCAGGATTACGTCAGGCCTTACCAGGCCTCAAGGGGTAATAGCACAGGAGAGAAGAGAATCATAAACTCCAGTTGTTGTAGTGATGTTTGCCGGGTTAGTTAACAGGCCTTGCTTGTGCACTGCACTATCGTATGTGCAGAGGAAGATGTGGCACGCTCATAAAGGTAAAGGATGTGTAATGTGTGTGGGTGGCTGCCTTGTTTTTTGTTCCTTTTTCCCCCCCTCTCCAGTAATTGCTATTTAAGCAAGACCTTGGCTGTCTGAAAACTGTGGTATGAGTATCTGATCGAAACTCCATATTAGACTTTTGCAGGTCTAGGTCGCACTGAAATGCAAAAATTACCGATTGCAGTGAAGTCTGATATGAACAATACAAAAATCTATATGAGAGCATTCATTCATATTGGAATCTACACTAAAGATTTTTGACTATAGCTAGTTCTTTCTGAAGCATCGGAGTGGGTTTTTTGCGTTTAGGGGGGTTTTTTGTTTGTTTTTTAGCAGATATTCCAGTATGACTAGCTGAAAGTCCATGTCCATTAACCATTGTGTGTTTGTTCTCTTGCATATGCTGCTTCCAAAAAAGATCTCCTTCCTCAGACTAAATGAGGTTAAAACATTAAAAGTGTAGTGCTGGCATTTCTTATGTTGTTTTAGGTTTACAACTTAAGGTTTCCCTGAGAAGTTTCAGCTTGCTGTGCTGAATTGATTTAGCTGTTCTGCTGGAATAAACCTCACCTTGCTGATGACAAAACAGTTTTGCTGGAGACTTTCTCCAGTCCTTGATAGAAATTATGTAGACTAGAATGGACTTAAGAATCCATGGTTGAGATGAAGGCTTCTTTATATATAGAATTTGAAAAACATATAGGCTGAAGTGTTGTGGGCCTGTTTGCAGTGTAGTGTGAAGTAACAACTAATTTCTGAATGGGTATATAATTTTTCAGGTGTCAAAAAAATTAGCACTGATCTGCTGAGAGAGGGAGCACCTATAGAACCAGATCCGCCAGTCTCTCACTGGAAACCAGAAGCTGTGGTAACTTTTTATTTATTTTTAACATTCCAACTTGTGGCGTCTGAACTGATGCTTTTCATTATAGACCTTAGATAACTGCATATTTTCCCCTCCCCAGTAAGTATACAGAACAGTTAAAATAACTTGAATTTCCTAAGTGTTAGTTCAGCCTCAAGCGTGCATCTCTAAAGAACCCTTTAGAAGATGCATCCCATCTGCAAATGCAGATAATGGCACATGCTGCTCTGAGCTATGTTTAATTATGAACTCTGTGCCATTAGCAGTATTACGAAGATGGAGCTCGCATTGAGGCTGCTTTTCGAAACTTCATTCATAGAGCTGATGCAAAGCAGGAGGAAGACAGCTATGAGATCTTTGTCTGCCATGCCAACGTGATCCGTTATATTGTCTGCAGGTACCTGTTGGATTCAATGTTCACCTGTGTTCTTTAAAAGGTTATAGTTTTGCTGAAATAGTGTTGGTGTATTGCATTGCTGAACTAGGAAATCTGTTGATTTGGCAGGCTTTGATGTGGTTGGAGATGAGCTCCTGCATTATGAGCAGCTGCTCCTGCAACCTCATTACAGGATTAACTTGCAGATAGGAGAAATATTTGAAAGCTAGAACGTTTCCACTCTAACTCTAAAGTGAAAATGCTTAAGACTAGACTAAATCGTTGAAGCTTGAAACCTTTTTGGTAGGTCTTTAATGCCTGTTATGCTTCTGCCTCCCAAAAAACTGCAGGCAGTGCCTGTGTGGGCTGTCAGAAAAGACAACAGAGCATCTGACTGGATGTCTCTTTTGAAGTGATGTGAATTTGATCTTACATACTGAAAGACTCGTTTAGTTTTGGGAAATCTGTACTAATGGAAGATACTGGTATTATCTCGAAGTTGTGTTAGTGCGTCCTTGCAAGGACATCTAATGCTGAGTTGGGAGGGAAAGTAGATCTTTCAGCTCATATCAGGGTGGCTCATGAAGGAGAAAACAGTTCTGGGTCTTTGCCCAGCTCTCTGTCTAGTCACCTGAGTCTGTTTTATTCCTCTCCCCCCTTCATCAAAGCACTATCTGTAAGATAATTTGTCTTGAGCAAGACACTTGTGATTAAATTTTAATCTGGTCAATAGCTACAACAGTTAGCTTTGTTTAGCTGAACTATTAAAATGCAAGCCTGCCTGCTCTGTGGACTGCTTTAAAGCTCGTCAGTATTTCTATACTTACAATTATTGATCAAGTAAACAGAATATTTTTTTCTTGTTCCAAAAGAGATTGTCTTGCCACTTCCTTTTTCTCTTTGCTGTTTCTTGCATCCTTTTGTAACTTCTCTTCTACACCTTACCTTCCACTCCAGGCTATATGATAACAAAATTGAACACAGTCCCATACAGTGTTCCCTGTGGATCTAGGTGGACTATAATTGTTATTCATTTTATCCTTTTAAAAGGTTATCCTATAGCCAAAGCCAAGTTATTCCTCAAGAAGATGTTTGAGAGAACTTATTATTTTCTCTGGCTGTTTACTACAATTAGTTGAACTTCTGAGGCTATTCAGTTAGGAATTTTAGGATAAAATAGCTGGAGACTAGAAAGACCTGTGATAGCTGAATGTTTTTACCAAAGAAGTGATTATCTTCTTCAGTTATCTTGTTCCCAGGAAAGTAGTTCTGGTGAATTTCTGCCATAGGCATATGCTGGTAACTAGAATACATAATATGTCATTGCATCTTCATTGCTGTGGTTACCTATGGCAATTTTAGCCTTATCAACACCAGTAGGCCCGGGCATGCTACCTATGCCTTTGGTCTACTGAGGAGACAAGTATGTACATAAGTGAGCCGTCTTTGCATGTAACTGTCCTAAACTGTAGGGTTTTGTGGTACTGCAGTTGGCTCAATGACCAACTGAACCTATTGCATCTGTCATCTTGTTTGTTATTAGGTTGCTGAAAGGACTCTCAGCAACCTGAGTGCATTATGGCGTCTACCTTCTGTCCATTATTTGAGTTAATCCTATCTATAATCATACCCATCTGCTGGACTCCACTTACGAAAGTGCTCTGTTGGCACTGGCCCAGTTGTCAAAGCTGCATTTTCGTATCAGTTGCATGCCAGTTTTTTTTTTTTTTTTTTAAACAATGCCTGTTTAGGGTCATTTGCATGCAAGCTGCAGAATGCACAACCATTTTTTCCCTTATCTGGCACAGCAGATGATGCTGTCAGCTGCACGCTAATAACATAGCTGTTTATGGAAGAACAGTATTACTTTTCTTTTTTTTCTTTTCTTTTATTTTTTTTAATAGAGCATTGCAGTTCCCCCCAGAAGGCTGGCTGAGAATGTCTCTGAACAATGGTAGTATAACCCACTTGGTGATACGGCCTAATGGAAGAGTGGCACTTCGAACACTGGGTGACACAGGATTCATGCCTCCAGATAAAATCACACGTACCTGAATGAGTGAAACTGATGGCCATCCAGGAGCTGCCTCTAGTCTCTTTGCACTAGTACATTCAGCTACAGTACCACTAGATTATCTGCTATGTTGGGATGTCATGCTCTTTTAAAACGTCCTTTAGCCCCTTGCCTTCTTCATACATATTCATATCTGCCTTTCAGTCCAGAAAAGAAGAAATTTTATGTAAGCCTGAAGCTGTCCAGTCCTCAAGTATTCCCAAAAACTCTTAAGTTGAGCTGAGGAATACAAAAAGATTGAATGTCCGTGTGCTCAGCAGCTATGAGGAGAGCACGACTTCTTTTTTTTTTTTTTTTTTTCCCCTCTCTTTTCTGTGAATTTCTATAATCAAAGCTTGCTCCTGTGGATTTTTTTCTTGTGCAGAAAAGCAATTGGTATGGGAACTGGAAAGGACAGCCCATACCACACTGCAGCTAGAACTGAAGACGAGCCAACTTATTTCAGCTCTTGCAGAAGAAGTGATTGAGGGAATTCTGCTGTTTAAAGGACAAAGGGTTAAGGTCTTGCTTTTCTAAGCGATTGAGGATGTGTATCTCTATGTTGCATCCCTGTTCCCTGCTGTCATTCCCACCCCTCCTTCCCCCTCCCCCCTAAATTCATGTAAACTGTGCCTGAAGATGGTAGACATAAAGAGAAGGTGTAAAAAAAAAAAAAAAAAAAATTTTTCCTCAGAACTGTGGTGCTAGAATTACCTGCTGCTCATATTAAGTAAGTGTTTCTCCATCCTTGGGAAGACCTTTATGCTATTCTGAGCAATGTACTTCAGTCTCACAAAACCTTTAACTAAAATTTGGTCTGTAGGAGAGCCTAGGGATGAGTTTTGTAGCAGTAGAGATAGAAGAAAGGGAAAAGCAGTTATCTTTCACTAGTTACTGTGGCTACGACTCTTATGTTTACAAGGAGTAGAGGCTCTTTTCTGTTTTCTCCCACTGATTCATGTTTGTTAATAGTTTGCTTTCAAAGTAGAGAAGTAACAGCATTGGAGTTCAAGATAAGTGCTACTTCAGATCAGCGTTTCTGCGGTATTGGAACAAACTACTGTTAAAACTGTTGCTTGAATGAGGAACGAATAGTTGTGGTATGACTTTTCTACGCAAAGCGATCAGTATAAACATGAAGCAGGATGCCTTTGAGTTGCTCTTTCATACAGCTTTGACCCTGCAGAATTTGTTCCAGGCAAAATCTAGGTGCCTGAGAACTAGGTTTTTATTTTTGAGGAGAGGGCTCAGAAGCCACTTGCTATTAAGGACATTTGCTAGCCACCTGAACCTTTGTAATACTTAGCTCAGTTACTGCCTGGCATGTTGAAAGTCTCACCATAGGCATAGTCTGCGTAGTGATATTTCACATACTGAAGTACAGCAGAAATAAATAAGGAATTACAAGCTTGATTCTCTGAGAATCCTGAAGAAACCCTAAACCTACTTCTGTCAGAGCTGTATGAAGCATAATCATGGCATGAACCTAGCACCACAAGGTTTAATGGCGTGTTTGATACAGGACTACTGTTATCAGGATGACGACAAGGAAACTGGGGCAGCAGGGAACCAAATATGAAAGTTGCAGCAGTGCTAGTCATTGGGGATGGCAGGAGGAAAACATTGTGAAGTATCTCATCAAAGCAATGAGAATAACTTATCAGTTTTGTCTATTAACTTTTTAAAAGTTTTGAATAAAATAACTGGTCTTTCTTTATTGTCTCTTCAGTTGAATTGTTGACTGAGATTCTCATCTAGAATGCGTCTGAAGTGACGCCTTATAGCTGAGCTAAATTAATTTATCTGTAAATTCACTACTTCTGCAACTAGGGGGTGTTAACTCCACTGTGCTTTTGAAGGCTAGAGGAAAGACGGCCCAACATACTTCTGCTGCTGTGGTAAGGCCTGCGTTCACAAGCAGAACTGACAGTTGGCCTGCTTACCACATCTGTCCAGGTACTGTGTAACTGACCCTAGAGTGTGTGTCTCCCCCTCTCCACTAAAACCTTTTTCTACTAAAGCTTATTCTTGTTTAAAAAAAACCCACATTTTTGCACAAGTACTGAAATCAGCAAAATTTTCAGTGGCGCTTACATTGACCAGGGTGGGGGGAAGTGTGTATGAAATTCCAAATGAAGATAGTAATTTTTTTACAGCATTTATAAGCCACTTGCTAATTTCCTGCCTCTTATAAGTTCTGCGGCTGTTCCCCAAACCTTTTCAGTAGTGGCATAATGAAATTTATTCTTATATTAACACACAAAAGATACATTTTGCCTACAGTTGGTGTAGTGTTAGTAAGAACTGGCTGAATTAGTCGTTTACCATGTCACAGTACCAACCCATATACTCACCCCCATCCCCATACAAAGTAAACAGATGATTGTGACACTTTAACTACTCATTTATTTTTTTGAATAGAAAGCAGGGTAACGCTGTGTTTTTAACATGACATTGGGCTAAGTTTAAAAAAATAAAACTGACCTTTTGCACCATTAAAAGTGAACTTTTGGACAATAAAACACAAACCAAGGAATCCCACTCTGATTTAAAGTGTCACCACAGGCTCCTCATGGAAGAGCTTTCTTCACAAATATGAGTGAGTGATCAAATTGCTACATAAGTAAGTTGCTACTTTTTTTCTGAATAGATGAAGTAAATCTAGTGTTAGGAAAAAAAAAACCTTTAAAAATGTAGTACAATAATGGGACTAAAATTCAAATTATGTAAGAAAGACAGTTGTTTAAAAAAATAGTGTCTTGATCTAATCAGAGCCAGAGCAAAATTACAAAGCAGTAGGCAAGGGTTTGGTGGTGGTGGTGGGTGAGTGGGTGTGTACATACCAGAAATACACCTTTAAATATAAAAAAGAAAGCAAATACTAATAAGGGTAAAAGGACAAAAAATTAATACACAATTATAGCTGTTTGGCTCAGTAATAAATTGTGTATTAAAAAAATCCAATACCTCCCCTCAGGCAGCTCAGGACCGATGGATGGTGGAGGAGTACAGTGGCTGTACGCACAGCAATATGTATGACATGGCTTTGTTTTTAAAATGGTATTAGGCAATTACTTGCCTATCTGCATATTTTGAACAATTTATCCAGAATTACTTTAAAATAGTTCATGTACATTTGTATCTTCCAAATAACTAAGCTACAAGGCTAATTAGTGGATATTTGCATTTTAGAGTTGGCAAGTCTGTTTTCAGTATTTCCACAAGTGCCACTGAAGCTTGGATGACTCCAATGCTTCTGTCCCCAGGTCACCCCCCCCCCCCCCCCCCCCCCCAGCATGCTAGTTGGCTGGAAAGATTTGAATGACAATCATTCAAGTAGAACTCACTAAAATGTCCAACTCATTGGAAAGGGACTCTATAATTATAAAGAGCTAATTAATTAAACCTTTTTTTTTTTTAATTTCTAAAAAAAGGAATGGTCTCCCACAGTGTAGCGTGTCTCAACACATGATCAAACTAAGAAAGAGACTTGAAAATGCCTTCCACTCAGAAATCCCAGATGAAAAACTGTATTTTATGTGCCCATAGTAAGTAGATGCCACTTTTTAAACTTTTGAAAGAACAAAAATTTAATTAAAAAAATATGTTACAAAAGGCACTATTAAGCTTGCAAAAGCATTAAGTGCAGGTTTTTTCAGTTTGTACCAAATAATGAACCTATTCAAGGGTTACAGTTTGTGTACAAAAACGGTCAGTGTGCAACAGCCATCAAACCTATCAAGCTTTGGATTCTTTAGTCCAGCCTATGTAATGGTGAGAGCTATGTGTGGTAAATGGCCCACTATTAAAGAGATACTACAACCGCTCGCCCACAATTAGTGTTTCTTTAGACATACACTTAGGTTACAAAAGGTTGAGAATGTTATATGTATGTTTTCCTCACTTACTTACTTACTTACTTATTGTGTGGCAACAGTGAATCCTAACCCATCTGTTTTTAACTTGTGCAGCCTTTGCTGCTTTTAGTTTTCTAATCAGATTTACATTTTAAAGAAAGATAGGCGTTACTTTTTTGTTTTTTTAATAGAGAACTATGAACAATAGACACCTATGCTTCTGGAAGCCTTCTTTCAAGTAAGGTTACAACCATTAAACATGATACAGAAAACTCAGGGTTTTGAAAAGCAGTCTTCATGTCAGCATCATACTGTCCAAACAAGTCAGTCTTCCAGAAGGCTAAAGAAAGAATTAAAATTATTGACTGCTGTAACAAAAGTTAGTTACTACATCTAGACTAGAGATATAGTAAAAGCTTACATTTCAATAAAAACTATTTTAATCCTTACTCCTCTATCTCAACAGTTGGGAAATAAGGATCCCCTTCATGGATCACTGGGGTACCACTATAATATATTACAAACTAGACCATTAAGATATGTTGCTGGTAAATTTGCTTAAATTATTGCTGATGTGTTTTTGTGTAAATGCTACTAAAAAAAAAAAATCTGCTAATGATAAAAGCTTT